AAAATAATAACTAATATATTATAATATTTTATTACCTATTTTTATTTTTCAACTATCACAATCATAAATTGTAAATTTTTTGTTGATTAAACTTCAAAAATAAATTTGCTCATATTATTTTGTAATTTCTAATATACTCAGTATCTATAACCACATCTGCATCAAAGAAAGATCCATATACCCTAATTATCTTTGTGACAAACCAATTTATCCCAATACAGTTTTTTCAGTAAATTATAAGTAATTATAAAGAGCATCATTATTAAGGCTAATCTTAATTAGTTGTAAGAAACCTCAACAATTAAAATGTTAATCAACATTAATTCAAATTCTTATAAGACTTGGGAATGAGTAAAACTGTTAGTAGACATACAACTTTGAACAATAGAAATATAACATGAACGCATAATTGTCAAGGTATTTGCTTGCCAAAGTATTAGAAATCAACATTAATAAAATTTAAAGTTAAAGTAAAACTTGATTTTAATAAAACAATTTTTAAATTTAAACAATAAATCGGAACATTTAAGTGGGATATCAATAACAGTTTTAAGGTTACCCAACTGTACTAAATAACATATTACATTCTTCCAAAATAAGAAAACTGCACAAAATAAATTTAAAATTAAAGTGAAACTTATAATTTATCAATAAATACTATCAATTCAAAAATTAAGATTAAATTAATAATTAGCTTGTAAATTTACTAACTAATTAGTAATTAATATAACTAACTACTAACCTCCAAATACAATTTCTATACGGCTTCTAGAAAAAACTACTAATATATTTTAATTAACATTGCACCCACACCCTAATACACAAAATGTATATATTATGCACATATAATTAAGTCTATAACTATACCAGCCAGTAACGAATCGAGGTAAAAAAATTTGCAGTAGAAAAGTCCTTACCATACAAAATCCGAAATAAGAAAGTCCGATATTTATATATAGCAATATTTAACATAATTAATTTAAAAAAAAAAATTCAATATCATAATGTTTATCTAATATTTTGACTTAACAATTTAAATAACAATTGTCGAAAAAATAAAATATGAAACTAAAAAAAATCTGGTATACATGTATATTGTACAACAGTTTTTAAAATAATAAATTTTACTTATATTTTGCCATATTGGTACCTACAAGATTATTGATTAATTTTTTCAAGTAAATCATTTAGTTACAATTTGTATTAATACTAATTTGAAGTTAGATTGTGCATCACACCACATTTTTCCTTTTATCTAATTATATGTACTGGACTTTTTCACCACAGACTTTTTATGCCTCAAACTTTTTTACCTTGGGCTTTTTGGTAGTCTCCCGCCAATAACATATCAATGGACAGTAATCAGAAATAACTAAAAAATACAAAGAAAAGGCTCAGTTCTACTATATTCAATTACATGTCTTGGTGAGAATATAGCTTATGAAAAAGATGTCAATATCAACTATAAATATTATGTAAAAATCAAACAATTTAATTTCTGAGTCTTTTACATTAATTAAAACTCTTTATTTGTATTTATTTGATAGTAGTTTATGCCAAAATTAATAATAGAGGTGGATTCTGAAACTTTTCATATCCTCAAACTACTTGAACTTAAACAAATTCAAGTTCAAATTTTAACACCCTGAACAGTTTACATTATTTGGGCATTATCAAATTTGAAATTTCAAGTATAACTATAGACTTTTTTATTATTATTGAATGTTAACAATGTTTTACTTCTATATTTTTTTTTACATACCGACCTAATAAATAATTTGTTTTTATGAATTTTAAATATTTGCCTTGCAATAATCCTAAATTTTGGTGGGTGAATAAGTGAAATTATATGTAGCAACACCTAAACAAAGACTTGGGTATTTCACTGAAGATTCTGCTGATATTTAAGGGATATTTGTTACAAATCAAAGGAAAAAAATAAAATAATTGGCTTGATTAACCCCTTTAGTTTATGGTCTTCAGTCTATTACCTAATATGTATAATATTATAAAGTTCAAATATGCGAATGAAAATCTGGATGATTGTTAGAGATGGGCTGGTACCGATATTTGATATTAATATCAGCCGATATTGGTACTATCGGTTTAATCGGGTATCGGGTTTTTTTCTGAACCGATAGTAAGACCGATATAATACAGTCGCATATCAATTTGTATGTAATGGTGATGGTTATACCAATAACGCTATTTGTAGACATATTATGTAAACAACAAATGATTTAGTATTTACTATTATAGACTATAGTATTATACATTTAATATTTATACAATTTTATGGTTATTTCAGTTCTTTCAGATATTTGTTTTTTTTGTGTCCACTTATTTAATAAAAAATAAAAAAATTGTAAAATTATTAATATTTATTATTTATTAATTTGTTATTATTTATTGTTGCGAAAATCTGGTTTACATATCGGGTATCGGTTTTTGAAAAATATATCGGATTTTTAAGTATTTTTATATCGGTTCATGGAAATAAAATATCGGACCGGCTATCGGTTTCATATCAACAAAATAAATCGGAATATCGGATATCAGAAAAAAGTGCTATCGGCCCAGCTCTAATAATTGTTGAACAATTACTATGTTGGTATTAGAAATTAGAATGAGTAGTTTTTAACTAAAAAAATACAATAGTTACAAAGTACCTAAAATATAGTTTAATGGAACTACATTCAACATGTATTGAAACAAAAATTTTTTTTTTTTACTTAGATTAATTTGAAAAAGAGACGTTGAAGAAATATTTTCAAGGAGACATTTTGTCCTTAATTTTGTTGTATTAACAAAGGTTATTTTTTTCCAACAAATTAGGTACAGTTGACATTTGACAAAAAATTGGTCTGTTTGGTTTGATGTATTCATTAATGTTGATTCAGGATGAGCAATTATTAACAGTCAAAATTTAAGTCGATTTTATGTTAAGAAAATATTCTGGTAGGTATATAAATGATATCTGTACTAAGAATATCTATTAGTCTTAACATATGTAGTTAAGCTTGCTAAAAACAACGGTGAAGTCAAAATTTGATGGTCGGACTTAGTTTTAAAGTTATACCTATTTAAATTCATAGTACTTCCATTTAAATAGGGCATGGTTATTTGATTGGTGCCCCCAATTCAAATTAAAAATTAACCTTGACTTGTTAAAGTGGTTCTTGGAGTTTAAACAAAATTATTAGAAGCACATATACACTTAGTGTGGTCATTCGTTTAGATAATTGAAATTGAAAACATCCCTCAGCTTGTTATGTAAAACCACCTTGGGTAGGTCTCGGACTTCAAATAACTTAAAAACTAAATCCAAATGCCAGATTCTGACTTCGCCATCATTATGAGTTTACTTTATTACTTATGTTAAAAATAAAAAGGGTGTCCGGTAATACAAGAATATACCAATATTTCAATTAAGTATAAAAACACGGGGAAGACCGCATATTATGATATATAGTAACATTCAAAAAAACTAATGCATTTTTTTTTATACTGACTGAAGATTTTGAACATTACATTTAATAAAAAGTTTTTAAAAAAATTTTTATTTTAAAATACTAGGTATATTACCCATATTAATTATCAATTACATTTGAACATAGGCTTGCAAATAGATTTGACTGGGACAGTCCCGGTGTCCTGGTTAATTTTGTCCCAGTTAATGGAAGCCGAGCGAAAACAATTTTAATATTGAATTATTTAATACATATAAAGAATAATATAGCTGTATTGAAAAAAATCTCTTCAACAGAAAAATATCAATATTAGCTTATAAGTTATAACTAATAAATGTAAAATGTAAATTAAATAAATGTAGTTTATGTTAAACAAATTGTATTGGTTTATTGGTTTTGAATAAAAATATTTATTATTTCCATACATCCATATAATTATACTAACTATCCTAAAAAAAAAAAGGTAATTTAATAATATGATATCTCGGTTTGGTGATTTTAAAATCTGGCAACCCTATTTATACATTTTCACCAAGGAAATGATTGTTTAAAGGTTAGCAAGGTTTGTTAAAATTTCATAAAAATATATTCTTTATTTTTTAGTTTGGCATAATGAACGAACACTAAAATTGAATAGCATAGGTTATTAAGGTACGTGTGAATTATACATAGTATATTATGAGGCAGTTAACATGATAAAACTAGTTAAATCCGTTATTTTAAAGTTAATAGTATTAGATATTGTAGTAGCACAAGCAGTTCCAGCAGCGTCGTTGGTAAAATAAAAAAAAGGTATTTGAGTATCACTAATCATTATTGCCATTTACCTCGTTTACCTAAGTCTGATAGTTTTTTTTTACATAATGAATTTAAATGACAGTTATTCTTAAGGGGAAATAATAAAACAAAAGACAACTGGAAAGACTAAATGTCTATAAAGTATAAGTAAACTCAGAGCTAAACATTATCAAAAGTGTTTCTATTATTACCATGTATATATGAAAAACAAAAAATATTTTTCAATTGAATAATGAAGCCTTCAAGTAAAAATTAAATGAGTGCTGATAAATGATAACAAAAAATAATTAAGTGATATCAACAAAAAGCCAATATTATTTAAACAAATTATTGTGGCGTCTAATCCAGTACCTCGACCAATACAAACACAAAAAACTAACTGATCCTAGGCATTTCAAATTAAGCTGAAAGTTAAAATTCAAATGTAATCCCTATTTTCTTTAGAAAAATTGATCGACAAGTTTTGTAAAATAGCTTTCTAAACTATGTGAAAGTGAAAACGCCCTATTTATGAAAACAAGAAATAAAATTGAATGATCTTACAATTGTGAATACTAGGAAATTGTGAAAAAAATTTACTGAATATCTTGTGTTTAATATAAAAGAAGTATGGTTGTGCCAACTATGCAAATATTAATGATTTTTTAGCAATTTGTTAAAATTATCAGTGTTAGTGTAAATTGAATTTAATTAGCAGATATAAAAGCAACAAAAACTTATAAATATACTAACCAAGTCTGGTCAATTGCCTCCTGTTGCGTATCCAAGAAAACATGGTCATAGATTGTTCGTACCTTGAGACAATAACATTAACCACAGCCTAAGTGTAAAACGTCACTGGAGTGTCGGCACATTATCGACGGTCAATCGAAATACATAAATGCACCATTAACGAAGGAAAAAAATAGAAACAAGCAAAACAGTTTTACGTGTTTAAACCAAATGTCATAAACTTGAAAATCCAATTAGACAGGTGTGCTTGTAAATTGATTTCTAGCGTTTTAATTGAAAAGCGACCAATAAGTTCTCAAGCCCAAACAATCGCACGGTGTGATGTCTAATGTCTATGAACTCGTTATCAGTATTCAGCTGCAGAAGAGCAGTAAACTGTTATCAGTAATCCTCTTCCCGTAAATATTTTGTCATGCCCTTTACGACGGCGTCACTTGCTCAACAACAACTACTATCGTCCACGACAATCAAGTTCTTCTGTTTTTCATTTTCCTTATTTCTTTAGTAAGAACTCAAATCACTCCCAAAATCATTGGGTACGCAATAAAACACCCTATGTCGGCACGGAACTGATTTTTTGGAGAGCGACAAAATCCACAATAGTCGACGTAAACGCGCGTCACGCGACGGTACAAGTGGTCGATCTCCATGATATTCATTTTTTCCCTGCTTTTCTTTGTCTATTTTTTATGGTCTTCAGATCACGTAACTTGCCATACTCGATACAGATAAGCAACGGCGGCGGAGATAACGTGAACACTCAGCGGGCGGCGACGCATCTACATCAATATACAACAACGACAACAACTTTGATTTAATAATTGTTTACCCATAGACCATAATATAATAATTTATGGTATTATCGATCTTTTAATGGCGACGTCGATCATATTTTCGTTATAGTTATTACGAGTTGTGTGTCCGTTGTCGTAGCCGTGTGCGTCCTCGTCAAAAATAATAACATTTCGAATAATAATATTGTGTGTTGTCCTTGCGCGCAATTGCGTCACACATATCGTTTTCCCATTTCTGTTAGCTAACAGTATCGTGTCCGGTGTCCCACACAATAATTGTTGTCGTCTGGCTTCCCACCCCAGCAACTGACGTAAAGAAACCCCAAAAACAAAAGTGATAGGTATACAGGCACCAAACGCACGATAGACGACAAGTGTCAATTACTGCCCGTGCACATTACCGAGTGGTACCACACACCTGCCCAGTGTGTTTTTGACACTTAAGATTTGTCAAAAAATGAACATCGTTGTCTGAAAACTAAATACGCAGTAAGTAAGAAGTGCACATCGTAGATACTAATTAGAGCCTGTATATTTGTATGATGTTTTTTTTTCTTTTCCTTATTGTCACTCATAATAAATTGATGTAATGCAATCTTCACTAAGACTCTGATATCCCTATTCATTGTGTCCTTACCTTAACAATCACTCGAGACTTATCTATGTTACAACTTGGTTAAGTGATTTTCTGATAATTGATCAATACCTATTTTTATTGGTCTTTTTAAGTACTAAAATCTAAGTAGGTTCATAAATGGGTTTAATAATTAATAATCTACATGTATAATGCAATATATTTAAACAATTTTCAAGTAGGTCCTACTTTACTAATAGAAAAAAATTTTCTCTTTCTATTAGTTGCACATTTGAGACTGAAATATTTAGTTCTGTGAATATTTTTAATTTGTGTGAGCAGCTAAGACTGTTCATTTTTTTTTTTTTTGTCATTTTTTTTTTATTAGAATGAAAATCAAGTTAGTTATGAAATAAAAGTTTTTTATGATTGATGTTTATTTAAAGTGTAAATGAGGATAAATTGTATTTTGTAAAGTAATTATTATTTAATAATTAGGTACCTACTAACCTATTAATTCATTAATGCCAGGTTTCATAAATAATCACTAAACATTTAACAAATTAATAGTAAGCAAATGGTCTATCAAACATGATTTAGTGAGCCATAATTGAACCATTAATCTAATCAATTATCATGCTACCCACCAGTGGTGGCCTACGGGTCCGTGCCTTACCTAAAATATTGAAATAAATAAATTTATTTAAAAACTTGTATGAAACTAAAATGTAATATATTATTTTCAAAGTTCTATCAAAATGTTTATGGTTGACCTTGTTTTCATTACGATTTACTGAATTCATCAGTCTTATTGTCTCCGTTGTCATAATTTTGTTTTTATTAAGTATTTTTGATATCATATACCTACAGCATAAGTGTGTGTGGGCTGTCATAATTACATTTATTTGTCAATGTGAATATTTTTTATGGCATTGGACGTCTAATGAATATTTTATAATGATGTTGAGGAAATGTTCAGTTGATTGCCTTTTTTTGGTTACCGTTCAGTATATAGAAAATAATATTCATGTACATTAAATATTATGTATTCATTATTGATCCCATTGGTACAAATGATAATATCTAAAACACAAATCTATATTATTTGTTTTAATTATTTACTGAATATTGTGTTCATTTTAAAGTGAAGAAAAATAAGTTACATTGAGGCCAATTGTGATCTTAGTTACCAAATGTTTACTTAAGATTTGCATAAGAAAAATCACATACTACAATTGTACATTTATTCCCCTATTTATTCATTTATGCATTTTACAATTTTGTCATATGTTAGTCGTTAACATAATATCCTCAGATAAAATTGTTTATACAAAACACCCGGTGACTATTTAAAAACTTAAAATATACTTTTGTATGGCCGGGTTATAACTTTTGAATTTTGAAGGGACTACTCCCTCAATCCCTCCTTTAATTTACACACCTATGTAAATTACAAGTATAGGTAAAATACCCCATATTTAAAAAAAATTAATCTGAAATCCCAAGTATAGTTAAATGTTAATAATTTTAAAATTTAAATAACAGCAATGCCTGATTGAGAATTCAAGACTATACAATTTTGATTTAAATAATATCCCGTAATATCCAAGGTTATATTTTCCGCTGTTATAAATTCGAGTAATAATACTGTTAGGTCTAGAATCTAGAGAAACTTATCAGTTTTCATACATGACCAGCATTTTTTTTTTATAAATCTATAAATGTATTTTTAGATTAGTAAATTAAAAATAACCCTCTATATACAATGCATACAACTGAAATGTTTATTTATATTTAATAACACCATTAGAGTATTTTTTTATTTAAATTTATTTAATGTTTTTTTGACAGTATTATTATATATTGTTTTTTATACAATAATCCCGCAAAATATTTTACAACAAGAGATTATTATACTAATGATACCTGTGAATATACATTTATTTTATTACATTAAATGCCTAATATGCCTAAATCTTACCTAATAAATAATTTATCGTTATTAATTATTACATATTGCTAACTCATCAATAGTCGAGACTCAATATACACTCACGTTTAAATGTGTTTAGGCACCAGTTTACCACTGATTAATTTATTGCATATTTAATCAGACGTTATTAATATCTTCAATTGATACATTTACTTATATAAATACAATTTAATACAATTTTATAATCTACTTTCAACCAAATGTCAAAGTAGTTTTGATCACAAGGAACTAATCACAGCTTATATTGTTATTTTTATTTTTTATCTATAATTGTTACTGTTGCAAATACATAAAAATCTATAAGATATTATATAGATTGTCTGGTTGTAGAATAGTAAGTTAGATTCACTTCCTGATACATATAGTTCTTGTGATGATGCTGACTTTGTATTTAAAACAGAATACAGGGCTCTTTATAATAAAATGATGAAAAAAGTATTTCTTTTGTTAAATTGTTAAAAACAACTATACTGGTTAAGACGCTTATACACCACTAACGATAAATGAAGTTTGGAACTTAGTTTTCCTCAATAAGCACTCTGTGGCCAATTATATTAATGAACCAAATTATTCGATAGACAATTATTATGTGATAAATTGTGTTTTTATCAAATAACTGATTCCTAGCTTATAAAACTAGCTGTCTAAGCTAATCATAAATGTAATTTATCAAATATTATTACCTACTCAAAAATAACCACGTATATAATTATGTAACATAATTATTCATGATGCTAAGTATAAATATACATTATTGTTATTAATATTCAGTTCATATGATAAATAGCTAATAGATAATAAATTATTATACATATTTATATTTATTTTCAACCAAACAAAATTTAAAATATATTTATTTAAAAATGTAAAAATCTTATAGGCATGTTATGTATAATATTTTATTTTTAAAAAAATTTTTTCAACCTTGTTGTTTTTGATAAATTCTCTAAATAAAAGTTTAGTATAAATAAAAAGTACAAATTATAAATAACCACAGCTATAATAAATAATTATTAATTTCATAATTGATATTACTTTTTGTCAGTATTAGTAAAAATTAATTATTTACTATTTATTTCAGGCAGTTCATAATATAATTGATAAGAAATGCCGCTCTTCTACAGTGTAGTAGCCAGGGGTATGGTTGTACTAGCCAAGCATGCCAACTATCAAGGAAATTTTGGAGAAATTCTAGAAGGAGTCTTAATCCAAATTGGACCAGAAAACAAGAAACAAAGCTTACTACATGACCGTTACTTATATCACTACATTTGTGAAGATCAAATAGTTTATATGTGTATCACAGACGATGTAAGTTTTAACATCAATTATTTTGGTACTATAACTCAGTAAATAATATAAATTAATACATTTACTCGTAATGTGAATGACTTTTTAAGGATTATTATAAAGTTCAAATTTAATATCAAATCTTTCATTATAAAAAAAGTGAATTTGCGTATTTTAAAGTTTATGATATTAAGCTATATGATTATTTTTATATGTATTTATAGGAATTCCAAAGATCTAAAGCATTTTTTTTCTTAAATGAAATAAAACGAAGATTTCAAGCTACATATGGTCATCGAGCATCCAATGCTATTGCATATTCCATGAATTCTGAGTTTGCACCAATACTTGCTTCTGAAATGGTACTAAATATTGTATGCTATATAAAATATTTATCTCAAAGATAGTAACAACAATTTTTTTCACAGAAACGATTTTCTAGTCCTAATGAATTTGATACATTATCAAAAGTGCATGGAGAACTAGATGAATTAAAGGACATAATGGTTCGAAATATTGGTAAATAAATAAACATAAACTATCATTTTAATTATAACAATAAATGAATACTATTTTCAGACAATGTAGCTCTTCGTGGTGAAAAACTTGAACTATTGGTTAATAAAACTGAAAACTTGTGTTCACAATCTATGAATTTCAGAGTTCAAAGTCGTACTCTGCGTCGTTCATTATTCTGGAAAAATGTCAAAATATATGTTTTGTTTATAGCTATAGGACTTGTAAGTTAAATATTTATACTTATACTCTACATTCACTGACTTTACCATAATATTGTTTAAAAAATAATAATTAATATTTACTTTATATATCTTAAAACTTATATATTTAAAAAAACCTTTATGTCTTATGTCTTATGATTTTAAAAAAGTGCACATGACAATATCCCTGTTTTTATTTTAATTTAAAATATTGAAGAAAAACATACGTCAAAAACAGCTACATTTTCTATCAAATTAAGTTGTTTCCTTGTTGTGTTTTTACTTTTTACCGGTACTAAAATAATAATCAAGTATTTCCTTTGTGCAACATGTTCGTCTGTTCCAGATGTATAGTATGACATTGTTATTTCCATAGTTTTAATGAATTAGAATTTGTTAATTTGTGTACCACCTAAACCATTTTGTCTATAGTAAATTCTTAATATTTAAAAACACTATTGATCACATATTTCCCTTTTCTTCTGAAAATGCTATAATAAATGTTTCTTATAAATAGAATAAATTTCAAAAACATAATTAAAAGGATTTGAAATGTTAATTAAGCATAACATTCATAAAAATTAATTTAATTTTAAGCAACACATTTTAAAATTAACTAATATGAAATTTTTTTCAGGCTGTTATTTATTTCATGACTGCTTTCTTCTGTGGATCACTTGCTCTCAATTGTAGTTAATTTTTATGAAATTATAATATTTATTTTATGTATACTTATGCCCATACAACGTCTCAAATTTTATATTTACAAGAAAATTTACAATACCTATGCTTAAAACGTATTTATACTTAATTATTGTAATATGTATAGATTTCTTTTGTTATATCTTTTTAGTCAATTGTTATATACATTTTAGACATTGAAATATTGTGATAAAATATACTATTGTACAATAAATTATTCTATAAACAATTTTTACTATAAAATATAATCTTTTAGTCCACAAATTGTACTTTACTTGCATTCATACCTGTCCAATGTTTTTTTTTTTTTTTTACTAGAATAATTTATTTAGTTTGTAAGTATTAATTTGTTCTAACTCAAGAACAAAATAATTTCACTGGATTAATCTCTACAATTTTTTTAAATAAATACAATATATAATATTATATTTAAAAATGTGGTAATTTTTATTTAGTTTACATAATTCTAAAGTGGAATAAGAAAATCACTTCATTTTATTGAATAATTTATAATTATAAGTTAAAATTGAATATAAATGGTTATATATTAGAAGTTTGTTTAATATACTTTCTAGTATCTACAATCTAACTATGAAAAATGATCATTCATTTATATTGCAAATCCAATGGTGTAGTGACAGAATGGTTGTTATAGTAGCAACTATTGTATTAATTATATTTATGTTGGGTATAACTTTGAGGTTGGAACAGATATTCAAAACATAAAAGTTGTAATTAGACACTATTTTAAGATTTAAAAAAATAATATATACTCAATGCCACGAGAGGAATTTCCCGTTTCGCTCATGCAGACTGACGGCAGTGACTGTTACGCGACCCCATTTCCCTTACTTTGTGCCATTCAGTGTCGCTCTGTAGCATGCCAACTGTTAACGATCATGTTTGGGCAACGTGGATTTGTCAAATAGGTGAGGAACGCATAGATTCGAACATGATTTGGTCGCGACATGGATTACTTCTCTAGTGACGTGGAAATAAACAAAGATTTTTTACATGATCACTAGATAAAATGATAAAAAAAAAATACATTGGAGCTTCGATTATCCACACTAATTGGGACCGGAGGGAGTGCGAATAATCAAACAACCATTTAAAATTATTTAGGTTCAAACGAACCAACTAAATTTAAGATTGCAACGTACAGACATATTATCTACATTGGAGTGAGCCGTAGTAGATAATAAAATAATCTCGCATTTCATAATATAACATAATAATATATGTAACAAAATATTATATTTTATAGTATACAATAAAAGGAACATAACGAATGATATAACTAAATTAAATTAAACTAAAAATAAATTTGTACACAAAAATTATGTAGTGCGGATAATTGACGGGCCGGATAATTGACGTTCCACTGTAATTATTTTAATTTATAATAAAATGCCAAGGTTAGTTAATGTATATGAGTGACTCGTACTTAAATATACTATATTAAAATGTTAATTTGTTAGGTAAGTTAAAAGTAAGAAAAATGTTACGTGGCGCCTAGCTTATAATACTGGTTGATTTATTTCAGATGTAAACTCTAATACGCTAGAAATTTGTTGATCCTAAGAATATAATTTATTTTATAGGCATAAATTGATGTACAGTAGGACAGAAACCCTGGTAACACGGACAATTTCTATGGTTCCAATTAAAATACATAGGTGAACTTTGTTAAGACAGAAAAAATGGTCGGTCCCAAGCGATTCAGTCTTAACGAAGTTTTACTGTACGTACACATACTTAGTAAGGTACCTATATAAAGAAGGCCATATGAACCATGACCCAAATAGCAAGTTGAATATAAAAGTATTACAAATTTGTAATTTTTTGAATTAATTGAATTATAACTCTTACACAACCATTCCTGACACAACTTGAACAGTTTCTTGCAAATGTATGCAACATTTATATGCTTGAATATGGAATTATATCAATATTAATACAATTTAAATATTTCAGGTATTCAGGTTAATGTGGAGATATTATTAAATTATTGGATAATCAATTACTGTTTCAGGCAACTATCCAATAGTTGTTACTGATGTATCAGGAGATTGGGGGTTCCTAAGTTTCAAGTGTTAAAGTGCTATATTTTAAGGTACCTACTACCTAGTATAATATTTTATAGCCGTAATCATAATTCATGGACCAGCCTAAATAAAGAACAATCTTAGCAAACTACTATAATACCCACGTAAAATTTTGTTCCTTTTTCTCCTTTTAAATAAGATTTATTTACATTTTAATATTATGACTTAATAGTTGAACATTATATAATACAATATGTAACTTAACTGTTCTTTAAATAAATACTCCTTAATAGTTAATTGAATATGCATAAAATGTTTTATGATATTAAATATGTCATAAATAAATAATATTTATGTATAATTGATTAACAGATAAATTTTAATGAAAATATCGATTTCACAGTTCGTCCTATATAATTTCCTTACACATATTTTTATGTTCATAACAAAATGTTTCTTTTTTGACCTAGTAGTTATGTATTTTATACTTGTTTAATTTGTGTGATTATTTTTTTTTTAAAGATTTGAGCAAAGAATTAAAAATCTAATTTTTCCACTGTATCAAAACTTTTTAACTTTTAGTAAGCCACAACAGCATTAAATCGCAGAAATTCATAGTACTTTTGTGCCACAAGTTTTCTCATCACAATTCGTTAATACGTACTGTATGTCTAAACGTATTTTTAATAAAAAATATAGTATGGAATATACTGCAAGTACTACAGTAGACTCTTGTTGTGTCAAACATCTGTATCTTGAATATTTTGTAAACTCAAACTCAATTGGGATTCCCTTGAAATAATTACCATTACAATAAAACCTGATATCTTGAACTTTAAGATATCTCAAACTTTTATCTGTTCCCCGAGTTTCGCATTACGAGTATTTACTGTAATATGGTACAAATAACAATAAATATTAATTGATGAGTAATAATTTAAACCTTGAGTATTTTTTTTTTTTTTTGCCCATTTAATACATATTTTAATTTAAATTACTTATTTAAATAATAATTAATAATAAACTATTTTTTGTCTTTTAAACGTACATTAGGATTTAAGACAAACAAAATTAACTGCCAGTTAAATTGATATTAAGTACCTATCTAAATAATTTATGAATATATATTTAAAATATTGTTTTATTTATGTTTAATCTATCTACATATTTGAATATATTTCTTATAGGTATATTGTGACTTGTAAGTGGATATCACCTATGGAAGGTAAATTTTACCCCTTATACATAATTTACTAATTAGTATTTTAATTTTTGGAATTATATAATCTTATAAATTTTAATTGACTTGTGGCATAAGGAGCAAGTGAATTTTTTAGGCTCACCAAATTATTAAAATAAAGATTTACAGTAATTCGTTATTAATCTATACAAAAATATATTTTACATGTCATGTATATCTTAAATATTTCATGATAAAAGAGTGAAAAAATCTTTAATTTTACAATTCTATTATATATTAAACAATTCATCACAATGCACAGGGTTGCCACCCATCCCAAATTTCACTAGACAGAACTTTTTTCAATAAATCTATTCTACATTCCGTCTTAATAAGCAACACTGCAACAGGATGCATTTTATTCCATATTTGATAAATTTCAGAATAATAATTTAATAAAAAAGCAAATAAGGTACCTAAATCATTATTACAAATTCGATATTTTTGAGAAAATGAATTTTTTATTTTAAAAATTGTGTATTCAAGTATACAAAGTTTTTTCTTTCAACAAAAATAATTGTTCGACTAATTAGATACCTTTTGGTTGTGACAGTGTTGATTAATGGAAAAAATCAAACGATTGAATTTAGGGGTTCAAACATCGCACCCTATTGTATATTGTACATCAAATTCACTCTTAAGTAAAAAAACAGCAGTAAACAAATTAATCAGAATGTATAATTTGCTCTGTTATGCCTTATGCATTTGTACCACTGAGACTACACATGCGGGTATGGCATCCTCTTAAAACCTTTACTAGTAATGGCTTAACATTTTGAGAGACATTATATAAGATGAGATAAAAAATGATCACATAAAAGTATATAAGTATTATTCAACAATTGCTCAGCTTTTCAATGAAATAATTATTATAATCTGGGTGGAGTTACATATATTGCATCAGAGTAGCATATCAGTTATTTCTCCAAGGTTTTTTGTTTAACAGTTATTATTATCACATTTAATGAAGGTTTTAGGGAACTATTAGTAGTTGAGGTGGATGAAAATAGTTACAGTGACAAAGACAATGATTCCGAAAAAAATATTTTATTATTATATTCAGAAAAAAATTATTAAAAAATAATATATTAATTGCAATAGATAATTGTAATAATGCAAATTAATTAATGACATTTTAGTACATTTTCGTAATATTTAAAAATTTTAAGAATAATTATTATTTATACTAAACAACATTGGGAACACATATAAATAATATAATTTTACCTGCCTAAAATTGGATTTCCAATCACTGTACGATGGCAAGAAACTGAAGGACACCAGTTTGATCTGATTTACTTTCAGAAATAACTTACAAAGTTGAAAATTGAGAAATGTATTGTACTATTAGTACCTATATACATCATCAAAATATTCCTCTTCGTCCTTGTCACCTTGTTAAGTGTCTTGAATTTAAAAAATCCTGAATCAATTGCAATTTTAATACATACATGATAATATTTTTATTTATTAGGTTACGTTAGGTTATATAATATATTATATAATATACAAACTAAAATATTTGTGGAATCACACTAATCTTCTTTTTTAATCTCAGTAATAGCAACTTAAGAGGAACATTGTATGGGATTTTTAAATCTTGGGTATGAATTTGTCTTGGGTATCCCTACAGTGATGTGGTCACATAATTTTTGATTAGTCTAATTAGTTGGACTAAGATTTATTTTATTTGTTAAAGTTATTTTAGTTAACAGTATACACTCAATAAACTAAGCTAAATGTGTCTGAAATTAGAAATACAGGTACAATAGAATACATCATATATACATTATACATTATTGCAATTTTATAAGTAATTAAATTCATTTTTATCATATTTATTACAATACTATATCATCAATACATATTACTTATATTTTATATTTATTGAACAATTATTATTATCAAAAATTATTTTTTTTATTAATAAATTCAAGAAAGGTTTTAATTTATACTATTAGGATAGTGAATATGAACATTTCAAGGTTTCCATAATCGTACCATACCATCTTCGGAGTAGGTACATAATAAATTTTGATGAGGATGATGTGTTAATCCAATAACACTTTTTTCATGTATTTTTAGAGTATTTTCTAACTTCCCACTGTTCAAAGAAAAACAGTACAAATTATGATTTTCGGCAACTGCATATATCCAATCTCCTCTAGGTGAAACAGCAGAACATACAAAATTGGAACCTCTAAATTTGCCGCTTGTAAATGATTTGATAATCTTTAAATATATATATATTATTTATTAGTATAATGTTATAATTTGAAAATGTTTGTAAGAAGATATTGTACCTGAATTGATTTTCACATTATTTTAATTTTAAGTAAATTACTGAGTTGGGAGTAATATATAAATATTCGAAGATGCTCACAATTCACTTTTAAATTAAAATATAGTAAAAAAACAAGGAGAGTACTCTGATAATTGTCTTACATTTAAGTTTTATAATAGATCAATTCGCTCTAATATTTAAGCCAACAATACAAAATTGTAACTGTTGGACATAAATGTTGGTATATTTGTAAGATGGATACAGCATGCAGGTACGGCATCCTCTTAATATACTCTTTTAATATATAACTTACTCTGCCTTGCATATTCATTATTACAATGGTGTTTGAACGGTTACAAATAACAAAATTATGTTGATGTTTAGGGGAAAGATGCACATTGTTAACAGCCACATCAGTTGCTCCCATGGATTTAAAGGTGTGTGTACATTCTGTGGTTTTCACATTCCATACTTTAACAGTGCTATCGCTGGACCCGCTATGTAGTAAATATGCATAAAATATATCATAATATTATATGGCTAATTTTAATAATATTCACCTGATTACGCTGCGACCATCAACAGTATATATGACTTCATTAACAAATGATGTATGTCCTTTAAATTCTTTAAGCGTTTTGCCAGATTTCAAGCCATGAATTCTATTTAAGTAAAACAACTATTTATAACTTTTAATAAAAATCATTTTTCTATTACTATTAGTAATCTCACCTTAGAGTCATATCAAATGAACCAGTCAAAATTTGAGTGTTATCCTGAGAAAATTGTACACAAGTAATTCCAAGTCTATGAGCTTTTTCAAATGTCCACTTCGCTTCTCCTATCTGTATTTTCCAAATTGTCACTTTTCCACCTTGAGAGCCAGACACCAACATATTACTATCGTGAGAAAAATTTAAGCTTAGTACAGCATCTTCCATAAGCATAAAATTATCCTGGAGTAAAATAAATTTTGATTACAAAAATATTTTATAGGTACCAATTGTTTCAGAAAATTAATATTACTTGAGCTTGATATGTAAGATCTTTTCTTATTGTTCCTGTAACAAAATTGTATACTTCGATAAATCCATCTACTGTGGCAGTCACCAAATACTGGCCATCTGGTGAAAATCTAGAACATAGTACGGGGCTCTTTTGGATAAATTTAATTTGCTTAAATAACTTAGTTGGGAATGATTCTTCCTCTAGATTTTGAACTCCAATTTTACCACTAAATAAATCAATAGAAGTACCTAAAAGCAAAAATGTATAATTTATATACCTAATAGTTTTTCAATATTTGAATGGTTAATCTTAAAATACCTGGAGGTAGAAGACCTTGACGTTTTTGCCACTTTAATGCTTGGCCAAACAGTACTAATAGTCTTGATGGTGGTACTACGGATACTTCACCAGCTAATGATTGGGCAATAGCGATTCTACTTTTTTCATTGGATGTACCTTCTGGATATGCTTCACAAGGATCATAACAAGACCGAGCTAAAAGATTTTCTGGAATTAAAAAAAATAAAAATAAATATTAAGATCAAAAATATACAAAAAACACAATAATTTAAATCTGAAGAGAAATTAAATCTTTCAAAAATATAGTATTTATCTATTTTATGTTTAAATTGTTGTAAAAGTGTAGGTATAGGGTAAGAATATTTTATTGAAACTATCCAGAATTTTGAAGAACCGTGACTACTGTTTAATGTTTGTATATAATATAATCATACCAAGGTGTATATAACGATTAGGTTCGTGTTGTTTTAATGCAATCATAGGATCTGTTTGACGTAAAAGTGAACGAGCAGTTCCAAATTCACATAACTGAATTAGTTCAATTATTACCTGTCAATTAATTAAAATATTGTAATATTTTAAACCATTATTATTTCTTTAATATAAATAGTAGGACACTAACTTGTTCGTACAAATCGATTAATTTACTAGTAGGTAATTTCAACAACTGAACTGTTTTTAACACTACATCCCATTGACCGTTGTGTATATCTGCAACAAAATCATCGATACGTTCTACCGTGTTCAACGATACACCGGTCTCTTCCTAGAAAATGTTATAAACAAAAGATTAAATATGAATTTACTATAAACAACCCAATCCAAATAGATTAAACTGTTTGAATATTCGATTTTTTTAACATAAAACGGGTGTTTTTATTTATATCCACTGAACAGTGGAGTAGATAAGTAACATAAATACTTGAAGGGTCTGCAGAGATTTCATTAGATTTGATTCCTTCAGATATTGCTGTATAAGTCGTATAACACTGTAAAAAAGTTAAATTAGTTAGGTGATGAGAATATTTTGTTAAATACATTAAATAATATAGTTATAAATACTACGAACTCAGCGGACTCGATTTCAATGGCCATTTTTCAAGAGTCTAGTTAAATGCACTTAAAGCTGGAAATATGTTCGAGTAACAGGACTTCTATGGTGATCAACAAACGAAACTCGAAAACTAACCTGACATAACCTAACCCTCAGAGTTTGTACGTTTTCAATCAGAGTAACCTCAAAGTGGTGGAGGTGTGACCGTGGTGAGCCGTAACCACATGATTTCCCCCCGGAGTTGGCATCATTGTTAGGTGGTTGGTCACCATGGCTTTCGTCGGCAAGGCGGCCATCGCGTCGGTCCGGCGGTCTGTCCTCTTTCGCTCTCGATTCGCTCAACCGCACATCCGATAACCTCTCGTTCACCATTCTCCGGTTTTTACGACCCCCCCCCTCCACGTGCGAAAACCTGGTGACCCCCGCCAGCGCCCGTATCTGAGGCTTTTGTAAACCGAATCTTTCACCTTAGTTCAATAATAAACCATATTTTTAACCCATTAACTGTTATTACTCATTTATACACTTTAGCAATATTTCTCCGCCTAGAATAACAGCTGTTGGAGGTAATCGCAATGAGTTGTAACGCGAGACCTCCACAGTCACATGCCAAACGAACGAAAATTGATAACGTGATGCAAAACTAAAGAGTAACCAAAACATTGAGAACAAATTAATAAGAACTAGAAATTCAGTGAAAAATGTTCTGTACCTAAATCAGTGCCAGAATTTGACTATAATTAAAAATTTTCTTGTGCTGTTGAAACTGATTCCACACATTTTTTATGAGAGAGAACCATGAACTAAGATAATATGGACTGGAAACGATACAGTGACCCAGTTTGAGTTCACAAGTAGGTAAGATATACGGGTTACTCAAAGCAGCATTAGTTTTAATGCCTAATGTTTATCCTCGATTACGGATCGCGAGAAGCGCCACTAGCGTCCAATTAATAAATAATTTAAAATAATTAATTTAGCTAAGCAATATCAATTTTCATGATAGATATATTTGTTTTATCTCGTTGTATATATACTATATAATTATATACACTGAGAACGCTAGCTGTACTTCTTCCTATAATGAACAGCTGTTTTTGGGGATAAAATGCGAACATCACTATGGAGGCCAATTTCTAAATGGCATTGAATAACCTGTGAATCTTAAATCGTGGCAGGGTTTGTTACGGGTGCCTCTGCGGAGATTGTTGTACTAGGTATGTACATAGCTGATCTTAACGCTACCAAGTAGCAGGGTGGAATTATTGATGATAAGAATGAAAATAAATATAATGAGAATGAAAACCCAAAATCAAAAAAAATAGTTGATATTTAACCAAGCAGTCAGCTATATGTACTAATCTTGGGAAGAAGATGCGAAGCAATTGCGGCCCCGCTTTCCGTTCCACTCCCACAAAATCGTTTCCTATCCTCTCTATCTTAGTCCATACTCTATGGTACATGCATTCAGTAGAGGGGAAAATTGGAAGGCTACAGTGTCTTAAGAGGACGTAGTACACACATGTTGTCTCCGTCATTCACGCTTACGGCATAACAAATTCTCGTTCAGCAGTTTCAATAGTGTGCTGTTAGTTTTGATATTAGAGTGAATTGGCCTATTATAAAATTTAAAGGTGAGATAATTATCTAAGGCCTCAATTAGGCTCTTATTGATGTTACTATTCCTAAGTAAGTTATGACCTGTTTGAAATTGTACATTTTAAAATTATCATAACTTACTGAAAATGAAAAAGCTACATGGTGCCCTAGATAATAATCTGGTCGCTAATTTCCGTAGTCCTAAACATATATTTAATCTTATATGTATGTTCCTATATGCAAACGTTTATAGATTTATGCGAACCTATAACTAAATTATAATTTTAATAATTCACTGCCAGATTCAGGATGGTCCGTCAATTTCTCCCTCCACCCAAACTCCATACGAAAACCGGACTGGACCCTCCCTCCTCCCACACAAACACCAACCAACTACGTCTTTTCCAGTCCATATTATCTTAGTTTATGCCTTATATCAATGTCTCAAAAAAACTTCTAAGACAGTGCCTTATACCAGGGGTCTCCAAACTTTTTTTTCAAGGGCCACAAAAAATATGAAATGCTCTTAGCGGGCCAAAAGTTTATTAACACATATATTTTTTAATTTTATGAAAATATAGATATACAAATATAAGTTTACTTTAAATCTTTTTGTAAAATATTGTATACAATATACTTATATAATTGGTAAAAATTTTAATAATTTTTTTTTTTTAATGAGAAGTATGAAATTTATGTTTTTCTGCTAATATTCGATCGAATTGAGGTTGTATGTTGCTAGTTCTAATTTTCAAAATTGACTCCAAGTGTTTGTCATTCATGGCCGATCTATATTTTGATTTGATGTATTTCATTTTGGAAAAAGTTTTTTCGCACAAATAAGTCGTAGCAAACTAGCAAATACAGATATATATTCAATTGCAAATTTTTTTAAATTTGGATACTGTATATCTGGGAGAAATTTATAAAAATCAACTAAAGTCTCTTCACGATGTTTGATTTTCAGTGCATCATTACTTTGTAAATCAATAATTTCCATTTGAAGGGTAAGAGGTAACTTATTCATAATATCACAACTAAACGGGGTTTGAAAAATATTTATTTCTTCCGATTTTGATTCCTGACATGTCGAATTGGTGAATTTCAAATTAATAGGTAAAGAATAATATTTATAATAAAGGCACTGCAAACTTAGACATGTAACTGTACAAACATAACTGTACAAACGTTATGAAATGATTTCGTCGTACCACTCGTCTATGTGGCTAATCTCTGACCAGCGCTAACTCCATTATCAGCGTTAAAAATAAAAATATAAAGGGAAAGTCGCGCTCAGCTCATAAATTATGATATTATAACGACTTTTTAAATTACATATATCCTTAGATATCTATATTTTATTTACCTATGGGTGCTGCGGGCTGGTTAAAACTTGTTCTCGGGCCGTAGTTGGGGACCCCTGCCTTATACTAATATATAAGAAGTGATTGCACACCGAGCGTGGAAACATAGTGGGCGCTTTTGGATGACTTAATGTATGGTAGTACATTGTAATACTGTAAAACAGGGGCGCCATTTCAGTTTTTTTTAGGGGTGTGCAAACAATTAAAGAGGCCAATTTTTCCCACCGCCAGGCCAATCCTTAAAAAAACGTTTCTCGTGTTTTTAATTTTTCAATATAGAATTTTAGGAATATAGAAACCTAGGATTTACACGCCTGTGGATAAAGAGATACTGATATCAAATTATCAACTATCTAATTATAGGACCCAATAATATTATAATGTTATTTATGATTAGCCGTGAATAGCGGTGCATACATAATTAAAGATTGGCAAATTGAAGGCCATAGTATAAATGATGCCTAGGCCAGGCCCATAGTAGACAACTAAATTACAGG